AGAGAGATAGATAGATAGATAGATAGATAGATAGATAGATAGATAGATAGATAGATAGAGAGAGAGAGAGATAGATAGATAGATAGATAGATAGATAGACAGACAGATAGATAGATAGACAGATAGATAGATAGTAGATAGATAGATAGATGAATAGATAGATAGATAGATAGATAGATAGATAGATAGATAGATAGATAGATAGATAGATAGATAGATAGATAGATAGATAGATAGATAGATAGATAGATAGATAGAGAGAGAGAGAGAGAGATAGATAGATAGATAGATAGGTAGGTAGGTAGGTAGGTAGATAGGTAGATAGATAGATAGATAGAGAGATAGAGAGATAGAGAGATAGAGAGATAGAGATAGACAGAGAAAGAGAGAGAAAGAGAGAGAAAGAGAGAGAAAGAGAGAGAAAGAGAGAGAAATAGTGAGAGAGATCAATCACCTTTCGCTCCCTCAGTGGCTTCGCTCTGCCATCCCTGATTCACAACAACAAATCTCTCCTATAGGTTTCCTATTTTTGAAACTTCCGCCACCGCCTTGCGCGGTACTACTGGTAAAAACTACCTGAGGTGTTTATTAATAGGGGGTCGTTCAGTATTAGGGGGAAGGGATTACGAAAGGCTCTGATTTCATCTTCTGTGGTCGGGCACTCAAACAATGGAGGTTTATTCAGCAGTTTTGACCAGTCCACCATCTGGGCTGTAGAGCTGCTAGGGCTCGAACCTGGTGATGCTCCACAGATTGTTGCAGGGCACTTTGAACTTTGCTGCCGCTTCTGTGGCCTCCGCCACTTCCAGGAGGACCAAAGGTCGCCAAACCTTCCACTGTAACCCAAAACCACCTTGGAACTCCTCCACAAAGAAGACAACAAGCAATCAACGCAAGTTGTATCAAAATTGCACAACGTGCATGCTGTAACCACCACTGCACATGCAAGCTGAAAGCACCACACTGTTCTCACACGCCAGACATGCAAAGAAAAGTGATATTACCGCTTACCAGAAAAACTGTCCACAAGCCAGAAATTCAGTAAATTGCAGTTTCCAATCCGAATTGCACCTGTCCACGCCAGAGGTCAGCTATATTGCACAAAGTTGCAGATCCAAGCTGATGTTCACACCTGTAAAATTCACAGAAACCTGGCACTTCCAATCTATACACGCGCAACAACATCCGACTCTTGGTGGGCCGGAGACCGGTGCCAAGTCATTTCGCCTAGCTCGTGACCTTCGTATAGTGAATCCGTTGGTCTCCCCGACCATGTCCTGGATCCGCATCTCTGCAGTGATTGTGGGCTGGTCTTCAAGTCGTTCAACGAGTCTCAGTTATCAGCGAAAGCATCTTCACCTCCTTGGCCTCCAGCTCCAATCTCAACACATCATTTCGGCCCTTTTTGCCGTAATAGGCGTTCTCGTATAGAGCTCCATGCGTGTAGGAATGCTGCATAGATTCAATCCTTGGTCGACCAATGGCTTCGCTTTCGGCGCTATTATTCAGGCTGGATCTCCTTACTGCCTCATTTTCTACATTCCTTAGACTCCGCTATCTCCTGGATGTTATTCTCACTCAAGTCTACCGGTTTTCTCGAGAGTTCAAGTGATTTCCTCTGGGTTCAACAGCAGTCGTCTGACCTGCCATCTGAAGATCAGCATTCAAATGAGCTACCATCTCGGATTGGTTGCCTGCGTTTCTCTGCCATCATGGTACAACTTCTAAGCAACACTAGTGGACAAATCTCCATCTCATTTAAACGTCCCTCAGTGCTACTAAGAAGTCCCTGGAGATTCTGACCTTGGTCCTGGTGCTCTTGTCTCATCTCCATGCGCTTCTCGTAGATCATGCTGGCGCTGCATTCCATCATCCTTCCTTTGCATTCCAGGTCGTGCATGCGCGCTACAAAGCCTTCATCCTCTTTTGCAGCCTGGTACTTAGCAACCTCATTAGTTGACATAGCCAACCTTTCAGTCAATAATATGGTGATTTCACTTTTCGCGCTCCGGTGGATTTCAACATCTTTGACGAGTTGCTCACGGGATGCTACTGCTATAGTTCTTCCAAGTGCGCAACTCTCCCTTCCATTGGTCCATTGTTCTCTCAACTCACTACTGACAGTATATGACAGTATCGGTTGTCTCCTAGCTCCGGCTCAGTTGCTCTCCTCTTTCCATGCCCGCCCTTTCCTGCCCAATCGGCTTTGTCCTGGATTGCCCGGTGTCCCGGCAGTAGAAGGCCTCCTCGATAAATGATGACCTCCTTGATGAGAGCTGCCCCGTGCGACATCTCTTGTCGATCTCGGGGTGGACCACGCAAATCCAGTGCTAGTCTGCGCATCTCAGTTTTATGCGGTTTTTTTACAGTGCCATTTTTACGACCTCAGCTTCCAAAAGTGCTCCCACCCCTTCAACTCTGTAATTAAACATTTTGAAGTGCACATCCAGCGCTCGCTGCAGTCTCGTGCGCATTTGTCGACAGCTTTCTCAGACCGAGGCGCGCAACGACCCTACTTCGGCAATCCCAGGAGCCACCATACCCGTAAAGACACAAGGTTTCGTGCCCGAGAATGTTTTCACCCGTGAATTCACACGCTTCCGAACGCTTATACTTCCCAACTACTTGACATGATGGTGTGGTTGACATAATGATGGGGTTGACGTGATGATGTGGTTGACGTGATGGTGTGAATGCAAACCGTATGACCATCGTCCGTAACTCGGGAGTATTCTAACTAAACTTCCATTGATTTTAAATGCTACCAGATTAAATTGTGCGAAAGTGGGAGTAGGCAGCAGGTCACCTGTACATAAGACTTATAACTAATGACCACGCTGTGCACAGTAGCCGGCGTCGTTGCACAGCTCTGCGGGACCAAAATTACACCCGGCTCACAGGTTATCAGCCTTTCATCCGCCTTCGAAGGAAGAGCTTGCGTGCTGTTGGCAACTCGGAGCAAACAACTGCGCCGTGAAGTATCATTCAGCTCTACATCGTGAAGACAAGGCTTTTGCCTTTGATGGCAACCCTGCAGCCGATGCTGACGGAGGAACAAATTTATCCCCCGGGAGGCGAGTCCGCACTGTTTTGACGCTGCGCGAGCGATGATCAATTTTGTGAAAGGCTTCTGCTATGCGGTTTTGCAACCGGCTGTCACAAAACGCATTGGCACATATTGGCAGGACCGCGCGCAGGAAGGTATCGGTGATGTTGCCACCGTCCTGCTATTCGGGATTGCAGCTGGAGGTTGCTAAACGCATTGTAAAAGCTGCACGACAGGTAGTTTCTGAGCACAATGCCATCTTGTGCTATGCGGGATTGCAGCCGGAGGTTGCAAAACGCATTGCGTTGGCGGCGCGAAGAGTAGAATTTGGGTTGCAGAAGGGACAGAAGAGGTCAAGCGGGTCAGATAAGAAGCATCCCAGTTATCCCAATTAAGAAGCTGCTCAGAGAAGAGGTCGCTTAGAGAGGTTGTACCTCAGCGAAGAGGTCGCTCAGTGAAGAACTAGCTCAGCAAAGAAGTAGCTCACTCATCCATCCAACCATCCATCCATCCAGTCATACTTTCATTCATGGGTTCATTGACTCATTGGTTCCTTGCTTCACTGATTCTTTGGTTCATTGATTCACTGGTTCATTGCTTCGTTGCTTCATTGATTCATCGAATCACCAAGTCACTCATTCATTGATTCATTGATTCATTGGTTCATTGCTATGTGGCTCCATTGATTTACTGGTTCACGGGTTCATTGAGTCATTGATTTGTCGATTCTGTTGAGACAGCAGATCGCCCGTGTGCACCTTTTGCACTTGCGCACTGAAGCCACTGTTTGCGGCGGTCACCATACATGTTGTACAGTCAGTTGCAGTTGTTTGTCACACTGATATGAACAGATACTACACATGCAGTAAATCTTTCACACCCCGCCTCAAATTGGCAGTGAGGCCACGAGATGTCAATTTGCTACTAATCCTGTGGATACACTAATGAGGGGTCTGTGTGAGTAAACCATTGTTCACAAAAGGCTCCGAAATTCTCCATGTGTTTTCCCCTGATGACTATGTCATTGAACACAGTGTATCCATGGATGTCGCGCGGATTCCACCAACCAGCATAGTCCCAAGAGATATCTGGCTGGCCTGGGAAAAGTTCCATCAAATGGCACTTGCAATACTCTATGAGTATGTACTCATTGAAAATCCTAACTTCGTGAATTCTCTCCACACGCTGTGCTTGGAGTCGTGGGAGATACTGCAAGATGTTATCTAACCTATCCCAGTCCACTCCAACTGGTGGGATTGGTCCTGGGTCATTTGATTCAGCACCACGGAACTCATACGGGTTCTCATGAGGCGATCCTGGAAGCGTCACTGTTGATCTCGCCACACTGGGTTCTCGTTGTCCTTGTTCTGGTCCGGGTTGTTCACAAACTTCATCAACTTCCATTGAAGTGTCGCGTTCAAGGGTTTCCTCTTCTCCATGTTCTTCGTCCATGTTCTCATCCATCAGCTGATACATCTCCAATGGATCCATCTCTGCAATGCCCAAACGAAGTCGAACTTGTCGAGCAGGTCGCACGTAGCGTGCCAATCCTTGATCTCCTGTTTCTCGGAAGTATTCTTCTCCCGACCATGCATCTTTGGGACTGTCCAGCACACGATACTTTCTAAGTTCGTGTAGCTCTGGATCCCAGTCATCCACGTAGCACAAATGGCGATGTCCCTTTGGGAGGTACATCTTGATCCACTTTCGAAACCATGTCATCGCCGCTGTGACGTGCTCTGCTGGGAAGAGCTTGCTGACAAAGAATCCAACCATGATACCGGCAAAGAAGAAAAACACCACATACACAATCATGAACTCGTAGTTCTCCATGAAGAAATCCAAATAGCCCTTGGCCACAATTGCTTGCGCATCGAGATCATCTGGTCTCATGCCTTTCGCCATCGGCTGTAGTGCAAGCAAAGTAAGGGCTTTCACCAACGGGGTTGCCAACTTCGGTTTGAAGTCGCTTGTGCCATTGGAAAGAGTCTCCAGCATGATTCGTCGAACCACCTTCATGTTGCTGCCAAGCATTTTCCGTTGCATTTGGTCATCAAACTGGTATATAGCCATCCACCTCTTCGCTGAAAACAACAATGCACATGAGGTACATGAGGAAAGCTCTGCGAGCTCTGTTGAGCTTTTTGTTCCCAAATCAGCCACGTTCAGCAAAGTTGCCACCGTTTTCATCTCCAGCAAACTGTCCTTGATGGCTTTCTGCATCCACAAAAACTTGACGTCCACATGCTTGAGTCTTCCGACTCCCAAACGTTGAGCAAATGCCTTGCCACTGCTTGAGTGCGTGACAATCACCACGCTGGTGTCCTTCTTGGTGAGGAAGGTCCAAAGTCGTCCAACATAGAGACCTTCTGCGCCAGCACCTGCAGAAGCTAGATATTCTGCCTCGCATGATGAGAGAGCTATGCTTCGTTGTGTGCGGCTCCATGTTTGAATGAGCCTTGCATTGAGGAAAACCATCCCTGAAGACACTGAATGTCTCCTGCTCTCTCCCCTTGACTTGTCACCTGCCCAGTCGCTGTCGCTAAAAACCTCGACTTTCTGCTCTGAAAATGCGTGCGCTTCTTTTCCATGAATCTCATCCAGCTTGCTGTTGTTCAAGACCTGGTAGGGGAGGAGCAAACCATAGTTTGAAGTTCCTTTGAGGTAAAGAACCAAGTGCCTGACACCATCCATCGCAGGCTTTGTAGGTTTTGCCATCCACTGAGACAAACTGCGCACCGCATGTTGGATATCGCTCCTGTCTTGTGACAGGTAAAGCAGTGTGCCCATGCATGACCTGAAGACGTGCTTGTCCTCATCTGAAAGTTCGGGCCCATCCAAACTGTCCATGGCAATATCTGGTGTTGCCTTGGGCTTTCGATTGGCCATGTTCAAGTCCTTGACCAGCTCAGTGATGTACTTCTCGTGGGGTGCAATGATCACTGTACTCCTGCCGAAGTGAAAAAGTGTCGCTTCTTCAAGAAGCGTATTGGCTCCTTTGGGTCTTGTCCATCAGATGGTACCAGAGTTCCACCTGAGATTGTAAACTTCTTTTCCAATTCATCCACCAACCAAGCTGCATCTCCACGTTCACCGCAGACTACCAAGTCATCCACATGAGAGCATAGAACCAAGCTGCGTTCTTTATGTCGAAATAGGCTAGGAAGTAGAGGAGTGCTTTCGAAACCAAGTGAGGTCAAATGGTCGTTCAGGAAGTCAAAGAATCTTGAATCTGCGTTTCTTTGACCTGGGAGGCATCGATCAAGTGCCCAAAATTCTCCATCATCAGTTCCATCGCTTGAAATCCACCATGTCGGCTTCTTCACCAAAACCAACTCTTGTTGTGGTACAAGAAGAAATGCATCCTTGACGTCGAGGAAAGATGCAAACAATTTGAAACAGATGTGCAGCATGATCACCAAGCTTGATCCAATTCCACTTGTTGGGGCAAAAAGTCGTGAAATCTCCTCTGCTTGCTCCTCTAAATTCCCTTGCCACATATCGAGCGCGCCTGATCCACCGTCCATTTCTCACACGCCAGTCATGAACCAAACGCGTTGTAAGAAGAGTTCCATCTTAAACTTCTTGTGCATTCGGGTTTCTCAAAACACCCATGTCCAAAAGACGTTGAATCTCCACATACCCCGCCTCAAATGTCGAGCTTTTCCAAATCATGCTCACTGACAACTGGTGGTTTGCCTTCGTCCACCATCTCATCTGAAAACTCATCCTCCAAACCATTGCAGGAAATGTCAATGTCCTCCTGCACATCCTCCATGATATCCTTTTTCCAACAATCGTCATCAGTGGCGCCATACTGGATGTTGTTGATGCTACCAGCATAGTGCGGGGCAAAGAGACTGCTTGAGCTCGGACTGGATTCTCCTTGGAAATTTGGGAGGCGTTTCTCCAACAGGAACATCATCCACCATAGTTGGGAGACCATCTCCTTCTGCATCACCTCGAGTGCCAAAACCAAATTGTTCTCCACCAAGGCCTTCACGTTCACCAAGCCTTGCCATTTTTCTAGGCATGAAACTGCCTTCTGGTTTCTCACGCTTATCACCTGAAGCTTCACCAACTTCAGCATCCTCCAGATCTGAGTCTGGATTGTTCTTGGCATACTACTGAACATCCTTGGCGTCATAGTTAATGACATCGTCGCTGGCTCCTTTTCTGAACATCAGCCACCGGTCTTGGTGTTGCTGGGCTGCCATAGGTCAATCCTTTCAGAAGAGCTCGTCGTCCAAAAGTTTGGTAAGGTTTCTCCTTGACCAAGAGAAGCCAAACACCTCTCCATGGTTCTGAAGTGCGACGGATTGCTTCGCCTCGTAAGACACCTTCTGGGGTCGCCACCACATGAAGATCTTCAGCTTCCGTCTTTCCAAGCCATACTCCAGGAACCCATTGGGGGCCATGTTTACAATTCAAGCCGCGCCTATGCAAAACCATCACAACTTCTCCAAAACAAGCTACCTTGCCAGCATAGGTTCGTCCAAAAACCAATTCAAAGGGAGAAACTTTTGTTGCTGAGTGGCAGTGAAATCGATTCAAGGTCCAAGCGCCATGAATGTAGGACCATGGGATCAAAGCGTGATCTCCGGGCAATTTCACCTCGCATTTCTGCTCTGCCATCTCGAAAAGTGTTGAAGCCTGTCTCCTCAAAGTTTGAATAGCCCTTTCCACTTGAGCTGTCCTGCGCTTGTCTCCTGGAAGACCATGAGTCACCACCGTCTCAAAACCAAGATGTTGCGTGAGCAATGTAATCTTCTGTAGCAGATCCAGCATAGTCGGCTCAGAGTCAGCCACAATCTCGATCTTGTCCACATGGTTGAGCATCAAAGAAAAACGAGTGATGTGTTCAGCTTGTCCACGAAGGTTTGTGCCTTTGGTCTCGGCTGGAAATGCAGTCAGCATCTTTGATTGACAGTCAATGCCTACCAAGATTGTTGCCGCTGGAATTCCTGGTGTCACTTTTCCATATGCATAGTCCAGCTGAATCACAGGGTATTCTCTGCGCTCTGGTTGAGGATTCACATGGTGAAGGGAATCCATCTTTGATTTGCAAGACACGCAAAAACTGCACCAACTTCGAAAAGGTAAATGAGTCAACTCATGCAAAATTCTCTCCTGCTTTGTTGGTTGCCTCGGCACAGATTGCGCCTGAACATTCACTTGATTTTCTTCTCGATAAAGACGATTGGCATCTTGACAGAGTTGCTGGTTCTCCAGAGTCGTGTCCACAGGGTTTCCTTTGACCACCTTTGGAGATCCCCAAGAACCTGCTGCAGTTCGAAGAAGTGCTATGCTGCTGTCCTTCTTCACGATGGTGCTGCCAACTGTCAGCGCATCTCGATTGTCAAACGTCCACTGGAAATTCTCAATGTTGCTAAACAAACCACGTTCAGCATCCATCTGGGCTAGTTCCTCAGGTTTGAGACCTTCTTGCATCTCCATGGGAACTTGAGGTTCTTCTGCAAATGGAAAACTCTCTGCACTGATGTGTGAACCACCTGCTTGAACTGAATCTGCAACAACTGAACCAAAAACTGAAAGAGGTTCATCGTGCTTGTGCAACACTGTTATCACAAACGCTGGTACACCTTGACATTCTTCGATCTGGCCTGTGTAGGTGATCTTTGTGAAGTAGGGGACGCAGTGCTCGATTACACCCCACTTGAAGTCTGCACGTTGAACCAAAGTGCGACGCCTGGGCCATTCTGACCATGGAAACAACATGCTGGGGTCCATGTACTCCACATTGTTGGGGACAATGATGTAAGGATTGCCAGCTTCTGTCGTAGTCCAACCACGTTTGAAGATTCTGTCTAGAAGTTCAGCTTTGGGCTCCACAATGGTCTGAACAACCATCATCTCCTTGTCCTCGTCCATCTCAGACATTGGCTCGTCATCCCCCACAATGGTGGTGATAGGGCATGAAGTTGCAAGCGTTTCTTCAACCAGGTTGACCACCCTGATATGCGCATAGAGCGCCAGGGAATTCTTCTTGAAGCAAAGTGGGGCTTCACATCCTTTGTCTGGATCTACCAAGTTGATGCCAGCTTCAGCACTGGAAGGGGTCAATGTCCAGCCTTTTTGTAGAAGACGTCCGAGGCTGATCAAGGGTGACTGCACTGACGCCACCACAAAGTCGTCCTCAATGACCACAAGGTCTGACCCATTCCCTTCACATTCAAGTTGTGCTGAGCGTTTTCCAAACGTTTCAAGTCGGGCTCCTTGGGCATCTTGAAGAACCGTCTTTCCAAGACGTTTGCCAAAACCTTTCTCGCACATTGTCTTTGGCAAAAGGCTAGTGTCAGCTCCACTGTCCAAAACGATGAGCTGAGGGTCCATCATTGGCACAGCTCGAACATGGTACCGATCCATGATCTCCTCCTTGCTGACATGCAACCTGTCAAACTGATGGTTGCAATCACCATACCATTGATACAGCGCATTCTCATTGCACTGGTTGTAGGGCTCGTCAATCTCACCACCATCCATTGAAAACCATTCCACATCCACAGACTTGACCATGCATGTAGAAAACCATTCTTCTTCACCATCAACGCTTTCCATCTCAAAGCATTCTGGTGTTGTGATTGGAGGAGTGGCCACGTTGTAGAGCTTCACCCTCCTGAAATTGCCTGGTCGAGTTGCTGTAGTCTGTGAAGATGTTGTTGAACCTGAACCAATACTGGTCCTTCTTGATGTGGCTCCACCCACACTGGTAGTCTCAGCTGAAGCTGCTGAGTTCTGGTTCTCGTTCACCTGGTTGACACCATTGCTGGTTGGGCACTCATTGCCCCAATGTCCAACTTGTCCACAAAGTCGACATGCGTTGTGGTTCTGGTTGTTGTAGCCCTTGCCTTTGCCAGACTTGCCTTTGCCCTTGTGTTTTCCACCTTTCTTGCCTTTGCTCTTGCCCTTGTTCTTGCCGCCTTTCTGATTGCCATACTTGCCACCAAAGGGGATGTTGAACCATCCACCCTTTTTGCCTTTCGAGGATTTGCCTTTGTTCTTGCCCTTGCTCTTGCCATAGGATACCTGGTCCACCTCCATTGGAACTGGGCCTTGAGATGAGGAAGATGTAGAGCTTGAAGGGTTCTGCAAAGATTGAAGGCTTTTGAGAAAAGTTGTCCAGCAAGATCAGCTTCTCCTTCAACTTCGAGTAGCTGAAATCATCGTCCATCACCATCTCCAAGTGCTTGCGCGTTGGGGCATCAATGCACCTCAAAACTGTTGATACTGCCAGATCGTCTGGCATCTTCTTCCCAGAGGCCATCTCGCACTGGTCCAAGAGGGAGTCAAACTGTAAGAGGCTTTCCATCATCGATCGTTGTAACCCAAATGCCGGGTGCTGCATAAGGATTGCAGTTTGTGCCACACTTGAAACCCATTTCTGTCACCACTGCATGAACGTACCACCTGAAGTGCAGGTCCACGTAGATATGAAGACAAAATGCTGTAGAGCTCCACACTGAGCTCCCTCACATCGGGCGCCAAGCTTCCCATGTCCTCGGAAAAGTCCAAGTTCTCCACATCCTTGATGAGCTCTCCATACTTGGAGTCACACAAGACCAACCAATTCAAGAACTGCTCACGCCATAGGCTGTAACGTACTGGGTCGTCCATCTCAAAGACATCTGGTGCTCGTAGAACTTTGGCTCCATCTCCAAACCTTGAAGATCCTTTTCCACCAGTTTGGAATCCCTCTATCATAGAGGTTGCCGTGGTTGCAGCTTGTGCAGCTGCATTGCTGAGCTCCATGATCCTGGTGAGAAGGTCATTGGCCTGTTGAGCATCCATCCCAGCTGCTTCCACGTAGAGCATCAGGAAGATCAATCCTTTCAGCTTCACCTTGGAGTTCCATCTCTGTTGCAAGTTGCCGCGCCATCTCCTTTTCACCTGACCTGGGCCCAAGTGGCTCCTTGATTTCAAGTCCACCTTTCTCTCATGCATCATCCATGCACAAAAGACCAGAAAAATCAAGCTGCAAGTTGTAAACGTAGTTGCAGGATATGTTGCCATGACATCCAAACCTGCTGCTGCCGCTAGTTGCACCATGCCAGAAAGCCAACTGGTCAAAGAGCTCCACATTGCCACGAGCATTGATAGCCTCAAGAGGGCTGTGAATCCAAAAATGCCAGGGGTACCAATCCACCAAGCGTTGTCACTACCATGAGGGTCCCAAATCGCTCTATAGGTGGCGCCAATCCACCCATCAGAACAGCATGTTCTCCACCTTGAGCTCGAAACATTGCGTTTGTCCATGTCCACCTTGGTGCTGTTGCCGCAGTTGACAAAGAAGTCACAACTGCCACTCATAGTCATGCCAAAGTTGACAGACTTGTCGGAGTAGAGCTGCGCGTTGTCATACTCCTGGAGGTCCTTCTGGTCCATGTCGTAGAGGAAGTTCATGTCAAAAGCTATGTCATAGTGTGAAGGAAACGGTGCACAGCGCTCACCTTTTCACTGAGCCGTAAAGAGCCTGTAGATTCACATGGATTTTCCATGCCACTGAGGTGAAAAATGAATTCAACTCTCTTGAAATTTGTGCGTGTCATCCTTGCTGCAAGTGCCATGCCATGATATCAACTGAACATATGTATGACGGCATGGGTGCATCCACAATTGGTTCGCACTCCTCCTCACTCAGGTGAGCCTTTAGCTGTCCTGAGTGCTCACCTTTTCAGTCCATCAGAGCGTTGCTTAGCTCTGAAATTTTCATTGCATGACCACCAGGATTTGGGAGAGCCTGGAATCCCATACCAATGGCCTTGAGGCCTCCTGCACGGGTTTTAGGATTGCCCGGCATCCCTCGGGATTATGGGATTGCCCGGCACCCCTTTTTCTCACCAAACACAAACCAATGATCTGCAAAAAAGTTGGTCTCACATGAAATTTCACTTGATGAAAAACTTGTGAGCTGTGCTACTTGCTCTTGCGCTCACAGAAATTGGTGCAAATTCTCTGCAAACGCATGGTAAACTCCTGCCAACGCTGCATCACCTCTGTTCCTAGCTCGCCTGTAAAGTCTTTGATATGTTCCAGTGACCCTTCTTGCAATGTCCAGTGTAAGGTGTGGACTGAACCGCGCTGCTTCAAGCACAGTTGTGAGGGTCATCTGGATATCTGTTGCATCCTCAAAATGCTCAGAAGCCAAAGCTTCATTCACCTGATCACGAAGATGTCGAATGATCCTGGTCAGCTCTCCTTCTCTCGTGTTTGAATCATCTTCCAACCCCTCTGCATCTGAAGTTGGCTCTTCCTCCTCCACGCTTTCCATCTGACTGTCCTCCATTGGAACTGGAGGCTCTGCTGAACCTGCTGCTTCAGCTGCATAGACTCCTGGACCAGAGGGATCATCTGTTGTATCAGGTGCTACTTGACGAGCTCGAAACAGAAGCTGGTTTGATCTCTCCTGGGCAAACATGTCAGATCTCTGTTGTCGGGTGAGTTCATTGTATCTCACAAACCCACCATGATGTACCAACCCATCATAGTTGTTGGTAAGTCCTTGGTCTGTTTGTCTCACATAGTTGTTGTATCGCGTTCGAAAAGCATGAAGATTGGCACGCTGTTCATCCAGCAAATCTCTCTGGTGGCCCATGAACGTGTCAGTCTCTGCCTGTTGGAGCTCATTGTGTTCCACTCTTTGATTCATCCTCAACCAAAGCTTGTAAGCAGCCACTGCAAAACCAATCCATGCCACTGCAAGCAAAAAGATTGAGAGCCAGATCCACAATGTTTCATTGTCACCACTGTTCACACTGTGGTCCTCACACTGGCCCTGTGCATTTAAACCAGTTGGCACAAGGCCCAAAACTGTTGTCAACCTGAGAATCGTTTTTGCAAGTTTTGTGACATCACGTGAATTGGTGTGGCTCGCACGCAAGTCTTCAAGCTCCTCCTGGCCGATTGCTTGGCCTGCTTCTGCAGACACCATCCCAAGTTCACACATCAACGCAAGAAGTCTTCTCCTTCCAAGGCTTTTGCTGCCTATGTCGCTAACGTTGTAGGCTGTTGGCATCTGCACCATCCCAACTGCACCACTTTGCACCTGAGATTGAACACAGAGTACCTTTCCTGACAAGTGTCTGATCTTACCAACGCCCTGCCGATTGCACAGCTGTCGTGCACTGCTGCTGTCTGTGAAGTGCACCTGGGAGATGTCGACCCTCAGAATAAACTCCAAGCAGCGCCTTATGAATGGCATCGCTCATGGTCGACACGATGCTGTACAATTCAGACTCGCAGGAAGACAAGGAAATCACTCTCTGTGTTCTTGATGATGCAAATAAAAGACATCCATTGAGGAGATGAACTCCACAGCTCGTGGACTTTCGATGGGCTTTGTTCGATACCCAGTCAGCGTCACTGTAGGACTCCAAAATCCAATACTTCTCTGAGGAAGTGCGCCACTTTCCAGCTCCAGGCTGTGGGTACTGCAAGAGAATTCCCAGGTCGCCCATCTTCTTGAGGTAGCCTATCAGCTTTCTCAAATGCTGGAGGCTTGTCAATGTTGGACGTGACATCTTGCCTGAAACTTCCTTGACAGAGAAAATGATGTCAGGAAGATCCCGACTCAAGTAAAGGCACATACCAACAACCCTTCTGAAAACTGCAGCATCTGTTGGAGTCAGTTCAGCTGATACGTCCTCAAGTTGAATTGAGGCATCACATGGAATCAACTGTCCACGCACTGCACCAAAATGGTTCTCAAAAACTTCAACCACTTTGTGAACCTGAGTGCCCGGAACTACCATGAGGCCACCTGTCACCAAAGAGATCTTCTTCTTCAGAAACGTGATTGTGCTGCCAAGCTCTTGCAATGCACTCCACTTGACAGAGAAACGGTCTTGACAACCTGGTAAAGGCTGTTTCTCAAAGAAATCTGCACTGCCAGTGTAAAGGATGTCATCCACATGAATGAGGATCACTGCATCCTTTGTTCTACCCAAGCGCGGCTGGACATCGCAAATAATTCCTGAAGTACCAGTACCAAGATCGTGCTCCCAGTCTTTGTCCAGGAAGGTCCTTGAGGATGACATACTCACATCCTTGAAGTTCGCATTTGACTGGGCGTTCTTGGTCCACCTGTAAAAACGCATCACCAAGGTCCATTGAAGCCAGCATGGGTCTGTAGGATGCATCCTGATCTTTTGCAGCATCAACCAACTGAAGAAAACTGGCCAACAACAAGTTGTTTGAGTGGGCTCCTGTTGTTGGGGCAAACACGTCATCTCTTTTCTCATTGGCAAATTCTCTTGCCACATACCTGCTTCTCCTCATCCAACGTACCCTTGTGTCTCCATCACCAACATAGAGCTTCTGCCTCCAATCCCTGACAAAACGTGTGGTCAGGCGTCCACTGATCTCACCTTCATAGTCAGCCAAGCGCTTGAGCACACCCATGTCCAGCAGCCTTCCTATTTCGACCTTGTCGGCCAAAGCCTCCACCCATTGCTCTGGAGTGGGTGGCTGTTCATCAAGACTGCCATCATGCCAAAGCGCTTCTGGAACCCCTGCAACCAAAATCTCCTCTTCACCTGCCCATAGATCCACGTCATCACCACTGAACTCATCTTGCTTGACATCACTGTCGTAGTCGTCCATGGTGTAGTACTCCTCAGCTCCAAACTTGACCACTCTGATCATCTGGGCATTTTGAGAAGTGATTGCATTGATCCTTTGCTTCTTGCTATCTGCCAGTCGCGCTTTCTTTGCATCCAACTCCTCCTCAGTCTCATGCTCATGAGCTCTGGTCGTTGGTGAATGCCTGGGGCTCATAGTTCCACCAATTTTCCAACATCCACTGGAGTCACTGGTGCTGCCAGACCTGGATCATCAGGCATTGCAGTATCTGCTGAACCCATTGCCACTGATGGAAGTTCAGGTGCTGGAGTTGATGGTGCTGGATGTCTGGCCATGTCCTCTTTGAAAACCGTCTCATCTGCAAATTCCACCTCACGATCAACATGGGTTGGCTTGTCATGGCCAGCCATGGCAGATGTCTCTGCCTCTTCCTTCTTCTCCTCAGCTGCCTTTTGTCTGACAGCTTCAGCATCCTCATCCACCAACGCACTTGGTACTGTAGGGCCCTGTGGGGCTGCAAAACTGACTGCCCGTGGACCTGCAACACGACGTTTTGTAGGAACAACACGACCACCAAATCCAACCTTGTACTGCCATGAGAACAAATTGAATTGCAGATGAAACTTCATGTGCATCCTCCAATCTGTGTTCACCCTTCTGACAGGCCTTGTGAGCACCAAAGAGCTCCCATCATAGAGCAAAAAGCTGTCCTGGCATTCGACCTTTCCCAAGAAGATCATTCGATGCCATTTTGCATTGCCCTTCATGTGGGACTTTGAGAAACCAAAAACCGGTTCTGAGAACTCACAGATTTGCCCATCATATGGCTTTCCAAAGACGCTCTCATAGCTTGTAAGGCCTTTGTATGGGCTGTAACGGCTCATCAGCCATGCAGCATGTCGCATGGCCCAAGTCCACAAAGCATGACTTGTGCCAAAAGTCACCTTGAGCTTGTCCATCAAATTGTACATCAAAGAGCATGCTACACCCCTGACTCTGCTCAACGCGTTTTCTGCTAAACCGTTCCCATGGGTGTAGGCAGCTGGAGTTGACATCTGTGTGATGAGGCCCATCTGTTGCCTTGCCTTCTGGGTCAGCTTGGCCACCTGCACAATGGTTGGCTCATTGTCTGAACGCAGTTCAACCTCGTTGTAGCCAAGCAGAGCACAAAATGCCACCAGCTCCTTTGTAAGCAGATCAAACTGTGCCTTGGAGTTCAATGGCACCACCCCCAGATAGCCACTTTTGTTGTCCACCATGATCATTGCAACAAGCGCGTCCTCATCTTTGACTGCTTCATCACCAGCTTTCGTGTAGAAAAAGTCAAACGACACAACAGGAACACTGCCTTCCATCGATGACCCATCTCTGTGGTGCTTGTCAGCCCTTGCACGATGACTGACACAAGCAGCACACCACGCCTGGTATGGCAGATGAGTGAGTCTGTGTTGAGCTTGTACTGATTCATCTGGTGGCTCTGCAAGAGTTGGCGCATTATAAGGTACTCTGACCTCAAAGTCCAGAGCGTCCTTTGAAGCATGAAAAACAGCCTCCATTTGTAGGCCTTTCTGATGTTCAACCAACTTCCTGAACACCTTTGTCTTGCTTCCAGAGGTTGAAATGCCATACGTTCTGCAAGCTGCTCGAAGGTTTGCAAGAGAGTTTTCAGCAGTGAGGATCTCACCATTGACCTCAACTGGGTCATCACGCTGGGGTTGAACTACAATTCTGCCACCTCCAAGTTCTTGGCCTGCAACATCATCAGGCTGAGCCACATCACCAGTGTCTTGCACATCATCTTCTGGTGCCAGCGGAACATCTCC